ACAGTCACACAAAATTGGTTCTTATGGGGACAACACAGCTTAGGAGATTCAAAGTAGAGATTTGCAAGACTATGCCAAAATTATATCTCATAATACCCCCACAGCAATGAGTTTCCATTCTATGGAAAAAATAATCTGAAAGAAGGATATAGGTGGAATAATGTTTTAACTAGGTTTAAATTTTAGATTTCTATTTTTTGGTATTGTACCAACATTAAATGGAACATTGACCTCAGAAAATATTTATTGTTTTGTCCAACAATCTTACTACCTGTCTCTTGCATCTTTTTTTTCCTGTCACCATCATTTTCTTTGTGTCCCCATGTCTCCAGCATTACCTTTTGCTGCTTGCACCATTGTTAGGTCAACATGGAATTGTACTCATGATCTTGCTTCCCTTCAAAAAGATATGGTATTGGCTGCCCTCTTGTTTGGGTTCAAGACTTCTTTACCAGTTGGATAGTTTACCCAATCTCTAGAGCCCCCATCTAGTAGAGAGATTGCTTATTTTAATTGTATATGGAGTTGTGTATAATTTAAAACCATGAGGAAGTGCTTCTTGCTTGATCCATGGTGTTCCAAATTTTAACGTTTTGTGAAGGAGATTTATGCTTTACTTTGTTATAAACTAGTTTTCCAGTTGTGATCCAGAAAAGGGTTCTCTTTTTCTGTGCGTATTGTATGTAAGAAAAAGGTGCATAGGAATTTGAGATGACTTTCAGACATAGGTGTTCGAAGTTGATTACTGAAAGAGAGAGGCTGCTTTCATGTTTAGCAACAAAGACAAAAAACATCATATACTCAGCAGTGATGGATCCTAGCATTGCGGAATTTAGTTTTGGGTAAATTGTGATCTTAAAAGGTTGAAGTTGAAATTAAATAGTTTCGCTGAATTCAATTTCGCTGATTGCAATATTGTAAAGAACTTCCCTGTTTAATAATTGGATTATGAAAAATGACATCTCATCCAACACATTATAGAATTGCAATCGAAGCTAGTAGTTACGATATCTAGGATATTTGTAAACATGGTATGTTAATTTGGTTACAACCTCGAGAGAAACAAAGAAATGGGTGGGGAATCTTGGAGTGGTTTAGATGCGTACAGAGCAGGAGGTAGATAATTTAATAGAGTTATATTGTGCAGAAAGGATGAATACTATAAATCCATAGGTCTGAAGCAAGTTTTACTTGAAATGAAATATAAAACGAATGAACTGACTCAAGGAATGCAATGAGAGTACCTAGAGTTTATCATTTTAGAAAAGATGGCAGTGAATATGAGAGTGCCCATAGGATTTATGTACAGGGAATGAAGTAGTAGATCCAATTGTATATTTTACAATACTATGTGAATTTGTAACAGCAAATATATGGTATGAAGTGATATATCATTCAACGGGCTGTTGGTTGATCTCCCAGAAACCAACAAAACAAGAAATCTGGCGAAGGAACCATCTCAAGAGGTTTCAAGTGATTTCCTTGATAAAAGTCCTTTTCTATAATTGGAGTCAAAACAACGAATGGGAGAGTTTCACCTCATCCTTCCTCTTGGTTTCACTTGGTTTCAAAGTGCGAACCAAACTGAAGAGCAATAAAACTTTATGGAAATAGTTTGCTTATTTT